GGCTCAGGCAATCCACTCACCTCGGCCTCCCAAAGGCGCGGGATTACAGGCTGAGCCACCGAGCCCGGCTGTGCATGTTTAATTCTAATAGATATGGATAGATTTGTTCCCAAGATGTCTGTGGCAATTCATATCCCCACCAGTAAAGTGGGAAAGATGTGTATCTTGGAAAAAGCTCCCTACTTGATTCTGAAGTGCAACCCAGGAACAGAACCCTGGCCCAGAGCAGTTCCAGGTGGCCCCCAGGCTCCTGAAACGGGTGTCAGGAGAGCATGAGTGAATGAGTGGGGTCCCCCAGGCAGTGAAGAAATGGTCCTTATCAGCTCCCCCATCTCCCTCTGACTGAGGCTAGCCCTCCTTCCCCAGGGGGAACTTCCTCCAAAGTCCCTCTATAAAATGACTTTGTGAGATGGAACGCAGTGGGTCTGAGCTTTGGGAATCCCTGCATACCCCAGAAGACTTCTGAGCAGGTGAGTGTTTTCTCTTGTGGTGGAGTTGACTCTGGTGACAGTTTAATCCCCTGGGAGGTGCCTGGCCAAGGCTGATGTTTTCTGGAGGGCTGGCGAGGGGGTAGGAGACGGGGATCTGTGTGTGGCTTTCAGGTGTCAACAGGGGCAGCATGTCTTGACCTCTGTTGTGCGCATTCCTTCAGAGGTAAGTGAAAGCTGAGGAGGGCAGAAGGTAGAGGACAGGGGCGGAGGGGCAGGGAGTGGCATGGTGGGTGGCATTTTGAGCTCTGAGGAGGGGACGTACCTTCAAAGTGCTGTGCATTCCTAGGAAGGCTAATAATCTTCGCTTCTCCCGCAGAACCCGTTAAGTACAAATAAATGGGCATCATATTCCCTTCTTCCTTCCAGGCCCACAGGAGAGACTGCTTGGCCACTTCAGGGTCTGCTTCATTCTGTTTAGAGAGAGGCCCCTGCTTCTGGGTCCCAGAGTGTCAGGAGCTGGGCTCAGCGTGAACTTTTCTGGCCCTTTCTGATTTCTATTCATGCTTCTTTTTCTCCACCTCACTCCCATGGTTCCCTAACGGTGTGTCTGTGATGTGTGTGTGCGCGCGCATGTGTTGGTGACAAACTGCGTTCTCTATTGCAGGACAAAGCCAAGATGAAACTCCCCCTACTTCTGGCCCTGCTATTTGGGGCAGTTTCTGCTCTTCATCTGAGTAAGTATTCTTTGCTTTCAGTCTTTCTTTCTTGATTTTGTTCTTTTCTATAGTAGCTGGGGTCAGAGTCACACGCCCACCCCCTTCTCTGATCAGCTCCTATTTCAAAATCTCTGTTCACTTAAAGTGACAGGGATGCTATAGCCAGGAGTTGAAAGGACACCTCAGGGCATCTGTTATGTCTGCGATTTTGGTTCTACTGTGACATTCCCAATTTTGTCCTTTCTGCATGATGCTAATTCTGGTGTGACATTCTCAATTTTGTCTTGTGTGTGTGATACTTCCTTTGAGGTCACTGAGTATGGAGTGCTCAGTATTTTCGAGGTGTTATCGCCTTTAACCCCCGTAGCATTCCCATGAGGTAGGTAGTATTGTCCACTCATTTCACAAACCGAATAAAGCTAGTGGATGGTGGAACCAGTGCCCAAACCCACTACTACCTGACTCTAAGGCCTCACTCTTAACCACCTTGACCTTGTGGGAGGCCTGGGGTCTCCCAGGTTCCTCTCCTCCCAGGCAGGGTTGAGTGCTCAGATGCCCGGGGCAAAGCGGGAGCTGTCCATGGTTCTGGGGTGGAGAAGAGACATGGGAAGGAAGGACACTTTCTCCCTGCCAGATGCTGAAACTGCTGACTTTGAGAGCCCCTCAGAAGCTAAGAGCCTGCCTGAGGATGGGGAGATGCCAGCACGGGGGGCTGAGGAGACCCCTTCTGGGGAGTTGGCACTGCTGGAGGAGGAGGAGGGGGGGGGCTCTGGAGATGAAGATGACCCTGAGGAAGAGACCCTGGATGAGACAGACGGGGACCTTCAGTGTCCTAAAGAAGAGGACACAGTAAAACTGGTGGGCAGCCCGGGGTGCAAGCCCTGCCGCCGCTACCTCCTGGTGAAAAGTGCAAGGAAGTTTAATAGAGCTCAGGTGAGCGGCTTGTGGCTGAGGCCCGGGGGCATGGCTGAGGCTGGTGAGAAACCAGTCTCCAGTCTTCCACCTTCAGCCTTTGTATCCCTGGCTTCTTTCCCCCTCGTGGGCCCTGGGGGTGTCAGCAGAAGCCAGAGATCTTGGGGTAAGAAGGGAGGGCCACGTGGAGACAGAAGTGGCATTCTGGCCTCCAGCCTTCAAATGGCTGTGGCAGGGGAGCGGGAGGGCATGCATTTTGGAGACTACAGTCCCGTGAGTCCATGAATATGGGAGAAGCACTCCATTCTGCCGCTTTTATTCTGCCCTGCAGCATATCTGCCGGAAATGCTACCGGGGCAATCTGGTCTCCATCCACAGCTTCAGCTTTAACTACCGACTACAGTGCTCAGTCAGCGTGCTCAACCAGGGCCAAGTCTGGATCGGAGGCAGGATCACAGGCTGGGTAAGAGGGGCGCCACCTCTAGGTGGGGGGCACCTCTGGACCCTCGGCCAGGGCTCCACATGCTACAGATTGGCCTGTGTTTCTCTTCTGTGGTTCCCTGAAGCATCAGGGACATTTGGACACTTCGGTGAAACACTGAGGGGACTGCCTTGGCATTGTCCATGTTTCCTTCTGCCTCTGGCTGTCTATGTAACTTGGGCAAGACGGTGGACCTGTTTCATTTCTAGGAGGGGTTGGCACCCCCTTGCCCAACCTCTTGTTTGGGCCAGAAGAACGAGCATGTCACTGGGATACACAGACTATGATGTGACGAGCACTGTAGGTAGACATTTCGGATGACCAGGACAGTGCCCATCATGGTTCAGTAGGCAAGGGCCCATGGCCCGGCAGCAGCAGGAGGAGCTGGTGGGCACAGGCCCAGCTCTGCCTCTCCACCCTCCCTAGGTCCCAGCCCCAATTCACCTTGTCCCCTCCTGTCCTCCCCAGGCTTTCTGCAAACGCTTTCGCTGGGTTGATGGCAGCCGCTGGAATTTTGCATACTGGGCTGCTGGCCAGCCCTGGGCCAGCCGTGGCCGGTGTGTGACCTTGTGTACCCGAGGTGAGATGGGACAGAGCATGAGTGGTGGGGAGGCCTGGGAGGTGGGATGCGCCCCATGGAGGAGGTGCTAGGAAGAGCCTGGCCCTTAGAGGGAGGGGCTTTCTGGGTCTCTAAACTCTGTCTCTGCTGAGGTGTGAGGATGGAAGAGGGAAAGGCAGTTCTGGGGGCCGAGTGGAATGGACAAGAGGCTGCAGGTCCCTTCCTGTTCTGCTCTCACAGGAGGCCGGTGGCGTCGATCTCACTGCGGCAGAAGACGTCCCTTCATCTGCTCCTACTGAACTGGTCCCCGTCAGGAGTTCAGAGCCGCCCACCCCATCCTGGGCAGCTGCCTCTCTTCCCCTGCCTGTGGCCCCTCCCTCTGCCTCTCGACAATAAAATTGCTTTACTAAACTGGATCTCTTGTTTCCTCTGATCGTTGATTCACTCTGCTTAGCCCACCCCTGAAGTTTCGGCCGTTATTCTCTCTCCCCCTGCCATGCCTGTCACAGAAGGGTCAGAAGTTGCCACCACTTCCGGAGGAGGATGGAGGATGCGGTGGGGCCTGGGGCCTTTTGGCGATTGACGATGGGCTCCAGTAATCCTTCTCATAGGACACCCCGTGACTGGGAACCTGTGTGGCAGGTATTGCCAGGACCACCTGTATCTTTGCACTCCTTTACGTGCCTGTAATCCCAGCACTTTGGGAGACTGAAGTGGGAGGGTTGCTTGAGTCCAGGAGTTTGGAACAGCCTGGGCAACACAGCAAGACCTCGTCTCTATAAAAAAATCAGAAAACTAGCCACGTGTGGTGGCATACACCTGTAGTCCAGGCTACTCAGGAGGCTGAGGTGGAAGGTTTACTTGAGCCCAGGAGGTCGAGGCTGTGCTGGGCTGTGATCATGACACTGAGCTCCAGCCTAGATGACAGAGTGAGACCCTGGGTCAAAACAAAAATAAAAGGAGGAGGAGACATGAAAGAGGCTGCAAGACTCCTAGTCTTGTCCTGTATCTTGATGTAGTTGTGGTTGCATTGGTAAATTCACTGAAAAATTCCTATGAGCAGTCCACCCTACAGTGCACTCTGCAGGTTATGTGTTATACATCCATTGAAAAGGTTTTCTAGAAAGCAAAAATTAGGTCAGGTGTAGTGGTTCATGTATGCAATCCCAGCAATTTGGGAGGCCAAGGCAAGAGGATCACTTGAAGCCAGGAGTTTGAGACCAGCCAGGGCAACATAGTGAAACCCTCTCTCTACAAAAAAAAAAAAAAAAAAAAAAAAAAAATTAGCCAGGCTTAATGAAACATAGTGTCTTGTCCATGGTAGATCTTCAAGAATATTATTTCAGCACAGGCGCAGTGGCTCATGCCTGTAATCCCAGTACTTTGGGAGACCAAGGTGGGAGGATCACCTGAGTCCAAGAGCTCTCACCTGGGTCCAAGAGTTCGAGACCAGCCTGGGGAACATAGTGACACCTCTTCCTATAAAATAATCAGAAAATTAGCAGGGCAGGGGGGCCCATGCCTGTAGTCTTAGCTACTTAAGAGGCTTAGGTAGAGGAATCATCTGAACCCAGGAAGTTGAGAATGCAGTGAGCTGTAATCTGTGCCATTATTGCACTTCAACCTTTAGGGGTGCTGGGCAACAGAGTGAGACTCCCCCAACTCAATATATATATTGAGTCTGGGCAACTTGGTGAGACCTGTCTCTACAATAAATAAAAAAACTAGTTGGGCATGGTGGTGCATGCCAGGCATGGTGGTGCATACACCTGTAGTTCCAGCTACTTGTAGTTCCAGCTACTTGGAAGGCTGAAGTGGAAGGATTGCCTGAGTCCAGCAGGTCGAGGCTGCGGTGGTCGTGAGCATGCCACTGCACTCCAGTCTGGGCGACAGACAGAGACTCCAACTAAAAAAAAAAGTGATATTTTGTTTATCATAAATGTTTTGCATTAATTTTCCATTTTAAAGAAATATCGCCTTAAATATTTGTATATTATATATACATATAGTTTCTGGTTTTAAATCAGACAGAAATCATTGTGGTCACTGACAAGGTCACTGAGGCCATTGGCATGTCTTTGCCCATGATCAGGGTGAGAGTAGTCTGTCCAGGACAGAGGTTGAGGAGAGGAGGTCGGGGAAAGGCAGCTGGTGTTGGGGATAAGAAGTTGGAAGATTTGGGTTTTGGCCTGTCTCTGACCTGCTGTGTGATCTTGGGCAACTGGTTTAAGCTCTCTGATATGCTATTTCCTCATCTGTACAATGAGACAACCTGTGTAAAACCTTAAGGTGATGCTGGCTCACAGACAGCCAACCCGATTGGTCATCCCAACCCCCAAGTCAAATGATGCCCCCAGCCTGGGTCCCGGATGAAGGGGAATAATGGTCGGGGGCATCTCTCCCTCCCCTCTTCCCCACTAGGGAAGTCTCAAACTTGAAACCTGGAAGCCGGGTTCCTGTGCCCTGGACTGGGCCAAGCCACCCACAGTCAGGTAGATCAGCAGAGGGTCCTGTCCGTTGGGCCAGGGAGATAATGGCCAAGGCCGTTACTCTGCAATCAGGCCCAGATGAGTCTTCTCAGCTACTTCTGCATTTGTGGGTCCCTTGCAGAGCTGAGGTGGGGAAGAAATCCAGGCTCTTCCATCCTCTGGGCTACCTGTCCCTGCTGCTCTAAGCTCTGAAGGGCTGAGCTGGAATTTGGGGAGCAAATCTGCCCTGCCCACAGGCTATCTCCAAGTCGAGTCATCCAACCTGACAAGTGCCCTGGCTCTTGGCAGAGAGATATGGCCAAATCAAGGCTTAGCATGCACTGGCCTCTCTTTGACTGCAGTAACTTTGACTACAGCTGCATTAGTTAAAATTTTGGTATTTTGACTGGGCACGGTGGCTCAAGCCTGTAATCCCAGCACTTTGGGAGGCCGAGGTGAGAGAATTGCCTGAGCTCAGGGGTTCGAGACCAGGCTGGGCAACGTGGTGAGACTTTGTCTCTACAATAAATAAAAAAAACTAGCCAGGCATGGCGGCGCATGCTTGTAGTTTCAGTTACTTGGAAGGATGAGGCAGAAGGATCCCTTGAGCCCAGCAGGTCAAGGCTGTGATGGCCATGAGTGTGCCACTGCCCTCTAGCCTGGGCAACAGAGTGAGAAGACTTCAACTAAAAAAAAAATTGGTATTTCGTTCATCATGAATGTTTTACATTGACAGGTGGCTTTCTCTCTCTGATCCTGGTTTTTACATTTGTTATGTAGGAATAATCCCACATGCCTGCTGGAGATGAAGTAGAGGCGGGGGTCAGGGATGTGACCTAGTGTAGATACGAGCTCGGGAGGGCTGAGGCTACCCTTCACCTTCTCCCTCTCCCCCTCACGGCCTCCTGCCAGCTCCCCGGGATCTTCACTTCACTTCCTGGGGTACCGACTAGCAGGAGCTGCTCCTGGGGTTAAGGCGTATTGTTCAGACTGGAGCCTCTAGGGGTGCTGATAATAATGCACTTAGACAACAGGCGTCACATCTGGGACCCTGGTAAGCAAACCAGGGTGTGTGGGCACCCGTATACATTAGCAGTAGGCCCCAGGAGGCAGGGTCCAGGGCAGAGAAGACTGAACACGCTTTGTTATCAGTCTGCTGTTTCCTACCCCGGCCTGGGGCAATCATCCTGGCCTCTTCCTTCTTCCCCAAAAGCCAGTATAAGTGCTGCTTCTGGAGCCCAGCAGCCACAGGTACTGAAAGTGGAGGCCTCAGACTCACAGGAGGTGAATTCTCTCCTGACCGCCCAGGGATGAAGAGTCTGGGGCCAGGGAGGAAGCAGCAGCCTACATGGTAAACACCCAGGAGGCCTAGGGACATCATGGCCACTGCCTCTCCCCCTTCTCCTTCTGCATCGTGAGTGAAATCAGTCCTGGCCCTGCAGGGACAAGGCTCCAGCTGGGTGTGGTCAAAGAGAGTAGTGATGGAGATGGGAGGTCACAGGGACTTTGGTACCTAAGTCGTTTCTCCCCCTAACCCCCTCACTCCTTTCCTTTTGCGGATTCTCCAGTTCAGGGTCTGTCACTGGAGGGGGAGAAAGCAATCTAGTTTGCTCTCTTATCGAGCAATTAAACGAACATTTCATCTATACTACACGCCAGGACGAGGACAGTCCCAAGGAGGAAGGTGGTGCTGTGTCCTGGCCATAAGACTGAGCAGATATGAAATGCCCTCTGCTCTTTCCCCTTCTCCTGCTGGGGACAGTTGCTGCTGTTCATCTGAGTAAGTCTCCTCCTGCCCTCATCATTCATCTTTCTCGTTTCTCCTCTTTCCTGCACTCCTATTTTATTTTTGAGTCAGGGTCTTACTCCGTTGCCCAGACTGGAGCACAGGGGCACAATCATGCTCATCACAGCCTCCTGGACTCAGGTGATCCTTCTGCCACAGTCTTCTGCACAGCTGAGACACAGGTGCATAGCACCATGTCCGGCTAATTTTTGGAGGTTTTTTTTTTTTTTTTTTGTAGCGACAAAGTCTCACTATGTTGTCCAGGTTGGTCTTGAATTCCTGGGCTCAAGCAATCCTCCTGGCTTGGCCTCCCAAAGTGCTGTGATTACAGGCATGACTCACTGTGCCGGGCCACCTACACTCCGTTTTTGCTTTCATGGGGCTAGAGTCACAGCCTTCCCTCTTCAGTTGACCCAGCTCATCTCCAGATTTCACCTGGATTTAGAAGCGTGTCCTGAACTTTCATAAGGAAAACCCACCCACCTGTCAAGATGAAGGACTGGTGACTGCTTCAGGCTTCTCCCACCTTCAAAACACACGTCTGTAGTGTCAGCAGAAGTCAGGCTCTCATTCCACTTGTCGGTGTCACCCAAGCACTCGCTCCTCATCCCACACCAAGACCCTTGCTTGGGTCTTGGATCCAGATGGCATCTAGAAAGGCGAGACAGAGGTGGCTGGTGCTGTCCACGGTCCTGGAATAAGGGAGAACTTGACCTGACAGGAGGTTACCTCTTCTTCCCAGAGAACGATGTTCCCCATCTGGAGAGCCTAGAGACAGAGGCAGCCTGGGCCAGGATCTGGATGGCTCAGGAGAGCAGGAGAGAGGGCTGATCCCAAGTGAGGAGGTGGTTCAATCAGAGGGAGAGGAGGTGGTGGCTTCTATTTGTCGAGACACCTTTGAGGATGAGGAGGCTGTGGAGTCAGACCTGCTTGCCTTAGACAAGGACTGGCAGTGTCCCAGGAAAGAGGACACCGTTCAAGTGCAGGGAAGTCCTGGGTGAAACACCTGCCACTACCTGCTGGTACGGACCCCCAGGACATTTAC